CGTGGAATCTGTACAGTTTGACGCATTCCGACGTGGAACAGACTGCTTAATATGAATGATGTTTGTGTGGCGCATTCAACCAATAAAGAATATACATTAAAGTTTCAGACATTGCACTGTAAAATCGTTTTGTTGCCTTATGAGCAGTAATCAGAGGTACTGTTAAGTGGCCAAAATCAAGTCGAGAAAACAGCTCTCTTTCGCTGATTTTGTTGACTGAAGTTGCTTGAGTAATGGAGTATGAAAAAGACCCCCCCCCCGGGATACAGACTGGTTATAGTCCTCTGAAACGGGGTATTGAACGAGACCTGACTCGTGAAAGTGATTGGTGGAAGGCGGACACATAAATTGAATGAAGAGCTGTTTTCGAACATGATTAGTGAAAAGTAACGATGCATGTAAATCGCATTCAATCAGTTCACCAAGTCCTCGTCGATTTGAGACATTAGCCGTCGTGATACCAAAGAATTTGACTTGATGCGATTTCTCTCTTCCAAAAATAATCTTAAAGTGGAAAAAAAGTTGATTATCTTGTTTATTACTCTATATTCCTTCAGTTGTCGCTTTATATGTTATATATTTCAATGTGAAGGTTATCTTAAACCAGAAACAATTCTTACTGTACCACCCATAACCCGACGATGGCCCTAGTTCCAAACTTCAGCAAAAAATCTGGTGCTCTGCCCTTGTTGTTCATATTATCACTATATTTTATTACTAGTATTACTATCATCACTATTAATATAACTACTATCAGTATCTGCTAGCTGGAATCTCATCACCATCAGCGCAAAAACTCATGTCGTAAGTAAATAAGGTAACTTTCCATTTTCATAGAAATAATTCTATTCAATAAATTCAGAAAGAACTCATTTCATCTAAACTGATATAATTCATACCTTAAGCAGTTTCCTTAACTGACCATGATTAAATGCCCACTCTTAATCATTTTTAGCAAACCAAACCAAAATATTACCAAACCGCAGATCGTATTCTCTTCAATAAGATAAGTTCGCTTCAATGGCGATGTGGTTGACATATTACGATGAAAAGACGACAAATGTCAAGAAATGATAAAGTTTTAACACGCTCACCTTGCCAGTTTTCGATCATTGATATCTGGAGATCGCAGACAACTCTGTATAAGCAGTTGAGCGAACACGTCTCGCTGTAAACAGTTCATTTCAACGTGAATTTTTCATTTTCCACATTTGCATAAAAAGAAGTGATAAAATGTTGGCAAATATATAAAAACTCATTCAGTTCAAATGATAAATTGTACCTGAGCTGTACTACCGCCAAGTTCGAAAAGCTTCTGCCGTGTCGGAGCAAGATGTTGAATCACTTGTTTAAAATCGCCTTTACAATAGGATGAAATCGCCTCTAAGACGGAATCACCCACTTGACGCATTACTCGATGATTGTCGCCTTGTCGATCACTATGAAAAGTAGCATGGATAACTACTGCTAAGATCACATACGTAAAAAGTAAGAATAAGATCACAACTAGGATTTTACACATACGTAATCCACTACGATCAGAGAAGGAATACGAGCAATAATAATATAAGTAACAATAACTAAAAGCTCAATTCAACGAAGAAAACAAACCTAATGAAGTTTCTCACACTCTTGCGATGCTTCGCGCTCAACTCATCAGCCTCACAGCATTCAGTTATCATTCGAAAATGAGCATCATTAAACGCGAGAATATGATCTGTAATGAATGAAAAATTCATGTCGTTCTATCTCATAAACACATATGTGAAGCTTCAACTTCTGATATAAGGAGACCATCGCGCAACTTATGAAACGAATCACGTTGTATTCAACATGAATTAATGATCAATATAGAGGTGATATATCTTCAGAAATCCATCTATATCTCTTCAACTAAACAAAATCCTTCCACAACATACATAATTTTCTGAGAGCTTAGAATGCGCTGAATCTAATGGTACCAAGAAATTGATATGAGGATTTGCTTATAAACCTATAGGACGACTTCACGGCACCGATGGAATCATGAGACGTATCAATAACAGTTCACTATCAGTGAGCTTACTATAATGTTTCACTTGTTGAAAAATGTAATCTGACTAAGAAAACATCTGCATTCGGTATTCAATGAAATTCTTCTGAAGAAACATCTGAAATCCATAACCATCAATATGTGCTTCAACAATAGGCAACAATGCCGTCCATCGTCTCTTTTCCACTTGAACTCCTTCCATTTGGAGTCGAAACAGTAGCGATGCAGCATCAACAGTATCCAGCATTGCGCCACTCGACGTTGAGCGTTTTCCGATTTCGCTGAATATCTTATAACGATATCCTCATATAAATAACCTCCATTAATTTAGACATAAGGACCAGCCAAGTTTCACTTTTCACTTATGCAGGAAAGCAACCAAATTAATAAAATTATCGACCGAACTGAAATTTTTTTGGATGGCATCACTAATAATGAAGATTGCTATAAGAAAAGAGCACTACTGAACTAACTTATCATATAACGTCAAAACCGTTTCGTAATCTGCCTTTTCCAAATAGAACAGTGCCGTATGCCAGTAGTTGTGGCATGCGATCATGAAACATGGCTGAAAGGCATTTAATTTTATTAATACGATATCATTTTAGAATAATCCTTCCTCTGAAATTCACGGGAGGTGTTACTACGGGCTTGATCACTTATAACTTGATGAAGTCTTCTGATTTTCAATCGATGTCATTCAGTACGTTGCTGGTTTCGAGTGCTGTCAGTGTATTCTCATTCATCGCATTATATCACCAATAAATATAATGTTTTACTTGGATTTACAAACACTTTGATCTGGTAGATGGGTACTTTTGGAACACTCACTGAATCATCATTCATGTAATGATACCCTCTTATGGCTGATTAATCCCTTTTGTTGGAATCATATCGAACTTACACTCCAATCCTGTACGGTACTCTCCATGAAAGCAATTCCTTCGTCGAAACGTCCATTCATCTCCATGCAGTGTGCCCGAGCGTGTGTTGCCCATGCATCCTCACGTCGCATCTCTAAAGCCTTCAAACAAACATGAGAACTCTATTGCATTGCTCATGTCGCGACGGAGCGCGAAAGAAACTATTCGTGAGGGACACCAAAGTGATATGTGAAATCAAACTTTAAATCTGTATTTAGCTGAATATGTATATGAGTTACACGGATATCATGCACTATCGATTCGGATGATGAAACTTAACTTTGGTATATCTCATTTGGAGGATCTCCTCCTCTTTGTGTTTGTATCTTATGAATGCTTTGTGTTTCGATATATAATACAGTGTTAATACAAAATAAACGCCGAAAGCGTATTTACTCGTATAATCANCTCTTCTCATTCATGTTTGACCAGCGATTTTTTATACATTGTCTCGCCATCTCATTTTCGGTCGATCCCGACTTCTTTTTCCGATTCTCTGGCAGCCAATTGTCAGATTGCTTGTGAATATGGATTCGATAAAATTGCATGAACTGCTTATAGTGAAGTTCCACTGCCGAAAATGCTACTGAGGAATTTCAATGGAAATGTTTCACTCACTTTTATTGCTTCTTGTTCAGCTTGCCCATATTCTTCGCATTCCTCTAAACCAAACGCGTACATTCCATACAGATAGCTGAATTTGTGAACATTTTGTTGTGGATATAAGATTTTAAAATTTTAAAAAGTTCAAAATGGTAGCATATGAAGTTATTCTCCAATTACTGATTGATGTTTTCCTTCTCTTATTTACATTTGAATGTTTTGCGATGTTTGCATCGAATAAATTTGGGCGTTATGCAAACATCTTACAATCATTAATTTATCGCTTTTTGCTAGTAAACACCTTGCTTTTCGGAGTAGTGGACTGATTTTAGAAGGGGTTTCTCTTTGTTGAAGAGATAGAGAATGGGATGTTTTGCAATCGCATGCTCACCATCTCAAACGTAAAATCACCTGCAATTCAGGTTCTGGCCACAACGCATAACACCAACCTGTAGCATGGCATAGTAGCATTCCAATGCGGTAGCACGCGAGCAACGCTATCCCGAATCGCGTAACGATCACCCAAATAGAAATAAGCATCATGGGCAAACTTTAGGGCGAGTAGGTCTGTCGGAGCATCACGCAATATTCGTTCCCATTCAACGCATGCTTGCTTCATCTCACTACAATCAGAAAAAATGAAAAATTGAAATCTCCAGTATCAGTTTCATTGGAGTCACAGCTGTTATTACTATTAACATTTTTATTGGCTTCATTGGCTATCAGATATAAAGAAACTCATAGCTGCTGAAGATTGCCAACATCAATGACACTGATACGCCATTCGATTTCATGCAGAACTTTGCGGGACTTTCCCCTGCGAGCAGGACTCAAATCCGTGCCGTTCTAATTTGGGATGCTCTACCAGTTGAACACTTAAAATAAGCACGTTCCGTGTTCGAGTCTCGTTAACCAGGGGAAAGTTTTGCTGCAAACCCTATGGCTCACCAATATACGCTTGATGTAATCGCTCCTATGTCAGTGGGTTTTTCAATATGAACTTGATATGCATACCCGCTAGTGAATAGATTCAGAGCTTTCACATGCATTTTTTCGCGTTCGTTGCCGAACTTATTCGCGTCTTCCAATAATCTCGCTAAATCACTCGCGTACTCTTCATCTAAAGCAGTTGATCGCCCCGTTCCCATTGCTTCAAGACCCAGCGTCAGTACTCTACCCATTACTGAAAAATATTACTCAATATCTTAGAGTATCAATGATTTCACATGATCATGATTTGTTTGATGGGGCGATTGATGTTAATTGGTGTATGACTTCAGGAAGTTGACAAGAATCAATGTTGAGGCATGCTAACAAATATGTAAGTCATGAACTTTTCAATGATATTTTAATTTGTGGATCATTTTAAAAAAATGAATCAATTGCAATTTTATTGAGAAGTGAAGTCTAACCGCAATCTGGGTCTGCTTTTTTTAGGGCATCAATAGTAGTGTCGACACCGCCGAGTAACTCGCAATCACTCCAGGATACATATTGCCGAAGAAGAGCATCATAGAGCCGAGCAGCCTCGTTGGATGTGGTCGTCATTGGAAGGCCGATATCAATCCAAGCCTCAAGTAGATATATTTTAACTGGAATTTCACGACATGATACTGTCAGAATCAGAGGTGGGCAATACGCGCTAACCCCTATTTCGCCAGTTAGCGAAATAGTCGAATAGCTGTTTCGCTAACTAGCGAAATTTAGCGAAACAGCTATTTTGCTGAATTTCGCTAGCTAAGGAGAGCGCGTTATTGCCCATCTCTAGTGAGAATGATTATCGGTATGAGCCCAATTCAAAGCTCAAGATGTGGTCCATTGTTCCTATTTTGCAGGTTACCTTTATGAGTATTGCTCCTTGCTATGATACAAATAAAATTCCACACAAACATACAGTGAAACTATATTGCTCCTTGTTTTTATTGGTTTGTATTCATGACAACTCAGTGGATTTACGTCAAGTTTTTAGTTAGTCGTAGGATTTCATTGAACAGCCTTTCTAGACTGAATCGTATTCATACGGTCATTCATTGGGAAAAACGCCTAAACCCAACGAACTACTGACTTGAGCGGTTTCAGTAGGATTTCAAAAAACCAACCTTACAATCTCGGAGATTCGTTGCACACCACGAAGCCATTCGTTCAATCTCTTGTGTTCCGAAGTTGATATTTGGGAAGTTTTCGGTTTTTAAGGATTTCTGAATGATCAATTGTAAAAATTGAAAGATTCGACATTTACTATAGAAACACGGAACGATATGAGCAGAATAACTTGAATGATAGTAGGAGCGAAACTAAAAAAAAACTGGTGAAAAAAATAACAAAAAATTCAAAGATGACGGTAA